CGGCCCAGCCACATCCAGCGGAAATTTCTGACCATCCCCGTCTGCCTGCAGCGCTGCCCCGGTTTACGAGGGTCTCCGCTGCGCCTCGTCCCTTCTAGCACGAAACCGCTGTTCTCGGGGGCGGCACCCATACACGCAGGGTCGGGGGTGGTTTATTTTTTTCTATTTGGGTTAATATCAATGCTCATTTCCATAATTTTAAGTATTTCTTGCCCCAGGGCGGCAGCCTCCACAGAGCCAGAGCCCACGTCTCGCACGGCCGCGGGTCAAACGCCCGCACCTGAAACGCCGTCGGGTTGGGCTAAGGGGGTTTCCCTATCGCGCAGGTGGCGCGCGGGTAAACGCAGTACTCGGATAGTGCAGAACGGCGTCGGCGCAGCAGAATCAGGCCCATTAAAGAATGACCCCAGCTGCCGCTAGCCCCGCTTGCGGCAGCATTCAGGAGTTACCAAACCGAGATCAAGACGCCTTCCCCCAGAGGAGACGGGTAAGGACAGGATCCAGTTGGATTTAAAAGCGTCTCACATCAGGCAGCGTCCTCAAATTCCAGGCGAGAGCCATCGGTTGCTTTAATCCGGTGAGACCGAGCCCCGCAGCGCTCGAGACTGCAACGTGCAAGGCAAACACCAAAATTCTCGGGTGCAACGTTAGCAGAAGGGACCGGAGCGATGGTTCCACAGCGATGGTTCCACCTTTAGGCCATGGTTTTAATGACAGCTCGACCTTTGCTGGCCACAGCTGAGCTTTGCTTAACTCGGCAAGTTTCTCCTAATCACCTGGGCACAACTGCTGGTTTTCAAGAGAGTCATTAAAGAAGAGCGCTCCTTAAAAGAGAGAGGCTGGTCTCTGCAACAGAGTCAGTTTGATTCAATCAGATCGTGTTGCAAACACCCCATAAATGGCCCTAGAGAATCCCACACAAGTAGGATAAATGAGGTAGAACAGTTTCTTACGAGAATAATTTTTGCCCAGTCCCATTTTCTCTAGGAAAAGCCCTAGACACAGCGGTTGGGTCACGCACGCTCCTTTGGGTCACGCATGCTCCTGCGCCTGCAATACCCAACAAGGGAACCGTGCCCACCCTTTGCTGTCCACGCCGGTGTCCGCACCCGTTTCCCCAAAAGAGCCCAGGGCGCCGGCGAGAAGCGAGCTGGAGGAGATCCGAGAGACGCCGGAGTTGTCTTGCTAGCAGGCACGGAAAACCGCGGGAGAAGACGCTCCCGAAAGAAGCGATTCCTGCTTTGCCTTTACCTAACGCTGAAGGACGGCTTTGGCTCTTGGCTCCCTCGCCACCTCCTGGTGGCCAACAGCGCCGGCTCCGGGCGCTGCAGCAGCCACCCCAGCAACGCTGCTGGCTCCTGCTGCCGCCCCGGCTGCTCATCCGTCTGCGGCCAGCGAGACCGAAACCCCAACCATCGAGCACCTTGCTGCCTCTGGGACCAAGCTGCAGCCAGAGAACTTCACCCTGCTCAGACAAACGCTTTGCAGCACGGGTAGAGCCTGTTTATGGGGGTGGCAAGAGACGGAGAGTATTAAGCCGGCTGGAATCACAGAATCACAGAATCGCAAGGGTTGGAAGGGACCTTGGGAGATCATCTAGTCCAACCCCCCTGCTAAAGCAGGCTCACCTAGAGCATTCTACACAGGACTTCATCCAGGCGGGCCTTGAATATCTCCAGAGAAGGAGACTCCACAACCTCCCTGGGCAGCCTGTTCCAGTGCTCTGTCACCCTCAAAGTAAAGAAGTTTTTCCTCATATTCAACTGAAACCTCTTATGTTTCAGTTTGCACCCATTGCCCCTAGTCCTGTCGCAGGACACCACTGCAAACAGACTGCTTCCATCCTCGTGACTTCCGCCCTTAAGATATTTGTACATGTTGATAAGGTCCCCTCTCAGTCTTCTCTTCTTCAGGCTGAACAAGCCCAACTCTCTCAGCCTTTCCTCGTAGGGGAGATGCTCCAGTCCCTTTATCATCCTAGTTGCCCTCCTCTGGACTCTTTCTAGGAGTTCCTCATCTTTCTTGACCTGGGGAGCCCAGAACTGGACACAGTACTCCAGGTGAGGTCTCACCAGGGCAGAGTAGAGGGGGAGGAGAACCTCCCTCGACCTGCTGGCCACACTCCTCTTAATACAGCCCAGGATACCATTGGCCTTCTTGGCAACAAGGGCACATTGCTGGCTCATGGTCAGCTTGTCGTCCACCAGATTCCCGAGGGAACTCCGGGATGTTGTAGGCCCCTCCCACCCCTCTGCTTGGCTGCACAGGACTTCCCTTCATCTTTTCTTGGAAGGTGGGAAAGCAGGGAGTTTAGGAAACTCCTCTGCGCATTTGACCTCCGTGGAGACGGCGAGATCACAGCATGCTGGGGATGTCGCTGCGTGGCTGGAAGGTGCTCTGGTACTAACGCAGCGACGGCTGGGGAAGAACCTCTGCAGAGCAGGGCTCCGGCGCCCCGCTGCCCTCCTCCATGCTGGGTCAGCTGCTGTACTTTGGGAGGATTAAGGGAAGCCGAGGCAGTTTTGGGGATGATGTTCACTTCAGAGATAATGGCAGCCCCGTGTGCACACACGGCGTTAAAAAAACCCCAGCAGTACGTGCAGAGCTGACAGTGAAGTATTCCCCCCCCCCCGAAAGCCCCTTCCCACAGTTCACAGCCTTGCCTTCATGCCGGGGGAGGCCGCGCTCCTCTTCCCCTCGGCCTTTAGACCCCCCTGCTGATCCCTTCTCCCAGCACAGCAGGGCTCGGACAGGACTTCACAGCCTGCCCTGGCAGGCTGCTCTCCGCCTGGGCCACGCAGGTGGGGTGTCCTCTCCCCCCAGCACAGCCGGCTCCCCTGGAGGGCTCGCAGCCACTGCAGACACCCACGCATCTGCATCTGAAATTCCTGAGGAGTCCCACAGGAGGCCAAATTTCTGTGTCTACTCCACTTCCCTCCTCTTAATCATGCACTCCACCTAAAGGGTTTTTTTCCAAATGAGTAATCTTCAGGCTGCTGCAATCAGGATGAGATCTCTCTCCCTTTACAGCAGCATTAGCATATGACTATTTAAAACCTGCCAGGGTTAGCTCCACAGCGCTTCCCGAAGATCGGCGTTGAGGTAAACAGGCACACTCGGTCTCCTCCTTCACAAGCTCTCTGTAGCTGAAGAACAAGTGAAGGAATGATTCACCTGAATCTTCCTGGAGCTGCTGAAAAGTTACTGCTTTACAAATACTGTAGGAAGAGAACACAGTCGAGTTATTTTGACATTAGCAGAAAGTTTTAATGATAGTATTTCTAGAATAAAGGTTCCTCTTCCTCAGGAAAATGCATCTCCTGGCCTTGTCAGAGCAAAGCCCTTCAGTGGGAGTGCTTCAGTATTTCTGTCTGCTGTGACTGTCTCTGATTAATGAAGAGTTTGAAGCTGATGATTTTTAAAAGGTGGATGAAGGCTGTGCTCCCGTGGGAGACGTTAAGCGATACCTGCAAGCCAATACCTTCTTCCGAAGCCTGCTGCCGCCTTTCAGGCTGCTCCTCACGCTGGACACCCCATCTGGCTGTCACCTGAAGCCCAGTCGAGATCAGTTCTGCACTCGGTAACTACAGATGCCTTGTTTTCCCATTGAAACGACGCTCAATTGCCACAGTGCTGTGTTTTTGCTATGACCCGAAGAGACGCAAAATGCGTAAGTCACTCCCAGGCAGTCAACACCGCTTCAAAAATAACAGCGTAACGCGCTCCCTCCGAGCCATCACATGTTCCAGGGCAGGGGATGCCTAAAGTCTTCTCAAGGGACTTTTGTTCCACACTGTTTCAATACCCCAGCCAGAGACCAGCTGACAAGACATGAAATAGGGGTGCAGATACTCTCAAGTGTTTCGGTATCTTCACCAGGAAAAAGGCTGGGAGCTAATCTCTAGAATATGTTGGATGAAAAACTCATTAGAGAAGACGCAATTCACAGGTACGTAGAAGGGTTTCAAAATTTAATAAGTCAACACAACAAACAAGTCAAGAATCTTTAAAATGTGAGAGTTAAGAAACAAAGTTTAGGTCACATATTTAGAAAAAGACATTTTTTGTATAACAAAGAGATAAACCCCAAAACATTTGCTCTGGTAAAAAAACCAAACCAGCAATGCTGGTCCCTGCTTGATGTGAGAATGCTGTAACAGAACTTTTTAAAAAGAAGCACCTGGAGTTACATGACCAGTTTTGAACTGCTCACACTGTAATTTCTTCTCATAGCAGCCTACCAAGTTGCTCTACAGTAAACAAACCAGGAAGAGTCCAGTCCAGTGATAAAAGTCAACGCAGTTGTCTTCTGTAGGCAGAGTTCAGAGCCTCAAGTGTCAGCAAAGCAATTTGATACACGCTCACCTTCCTTCTCCTAGCAAGAAGAGACCACTTACGCCACGAAACAAAGAAAACTGTCACAATACTCCCAACAAAGTCATAGTAACAGGAAGAAGAAAGCAAAATACATTCTAAGGAAGATTCATTCAAGCTAAACATCGCTTTTTATTCCAACCAAAGAGAGATTCTAGTGGTGGAGGAACAGAGCCAGGCCCACGGGATAAGGCCGGCAGTGCCCCCTCACTGCAAGACTGACGTTTGCTGCCGGCAGCAAAGGCCCTATGCCAGCACGCTGTGGGTAACAAGCAGAAAACAATTTCAGGCTCTTCCGCCACTGGACAAAACTTCAGGCAGAGCTTTTGCACCCGGTAACCGTCACCCGTTACTCTGCAGGTACCTATCCAGGAACTGGGAATAGCAGTCTAGAGAACAGAAGTAGCAGATGATGGGTGCCTCCGTACCTCCCATGTTATCCACGAGGACCACGGTGTGAGCTACGTGATGGAGATTCATGGTCACCGTGATCTGAATGAAGCTGCTCAGACAGGCACTTCCGCACTGGCATGTTTTAGCCACTTCCAGATCTTCACAAAGGTGAGAAGGAAGGAGATGACAACCATAAGGGATTCTGTTGAACAAGAGGAGTTAAGTGTGAATTCACTACAAAATTAACCGACGTCGCTCAAACACTGTGACAGGCCATATGCACCAGCTGGGAGAAACGCCTTCCCGAGATCATAGACAAGGCAAATCTAAAATTGTACCAGTTGCAATATCGGACTGGTTAGGAATTAAACGCCTCTTTCCAAGACAATCACTAAAAACATGCAACCATGCTACTGACCCCTAAGGACCATGGGTCTGAGCTCCAGAAGACATTGCAACAAGAACCAGGGAGTTCACACAAATCGCGACAGCCTGTATCACAGCGACAGAGAATTAGAGAATTAAAAAGAAGATTAAGAATAACAAGAGAACGGGGCACGTATGTGCTCTTCCCTCACGGTAGCCAGGAAGATCACTGTATTTCATCCTGGCCTGGTAAGGCACCCACAGTTTACTCCTTGCTCTATAACACAAAGTAGCAGTAGTAGCGTAAAAACACTGTACCCAGAGGAAACAGGAGACACAATGAGCCTTCTTACAGTAATACATTGCAGACAATAAATTAAGGTTCTCTTGACATACCGCTCTTTTCATCTGTCATGTCAGTAATGACGGTCAGCGACAGGAACGCAAATTGCTTCTTTTTAAGTTTGCAGCAGAGTGGCATTGTGTTTGGGGTACAAAATAAATCATTTCCCTGAAACATGTTGTGAGTTAACTTCGAAGTGTGGGTATCACCAGTGCCCAGCTGTCACTCGAGACTCACAGAATAGGTCTCATGACTCACATCCCGACTACACCTACATATTCCCAATTCTTTCTATGTACCATGATTCACATAGCTGGGGCTCCTGTGGGTTTTTTTTTTTTTTCACCACCTCAATTTTGGGACACCCTTTTTTCCGGTCAGGGCAAACGTCATCACAGCTCTGGTACTTGCCTAGCGTGCCACTGTGGAGATTGATTTCCAAACATTTGCTTTCGTGTCTTCCTTCTGTTTTCTTCCTTTCTCAAGGTTTGTACAGCCCATCATCACTCCTGTGTCTCGTTTTCTGTTAATTCTCACCTTCAGTGAATGTCAGACAGAATGTCTGTTGCCCGCTTGTTGGACTTTTTTCTTTTCCATTTAAGACAATCAGGACCACTCTGACCAATGCTGTCTCCTAACAGACACAGACCCCTGGGCATGGGAGCCATTTCCATTGTGCCTCGTCTCGCTGAGACTCCTGGAGCAGAAAGCCTTTTTGTTCTGTGTGATGCTGGCTTTTTAAAAGCCTGCTGCATGGGGACCAAGGGCTGGGTTAATGACCGGGCATCCTCAGGTACCCTGGTAACGTAACCAAACACCAACATCTGACCAGTGTTGAGGGATTATAATCTCTAGAAAAAAAACATGCCTTAATAATATTTATATCAAAACTACAGCAATTTATATAAAGTTGGGAAAGCAGAGACGTAGAGTTTAACTACTCTAATAAAATCAGCAAGGTCAGAAGAGGGTAAGATCTCTTCTGGAGCAGAGGAGGCTGAGGGGAGCCCTCATCGCTCCCTACAACTGCCTGAGAGGAGGGGGGAGCCGGGGGGGTCGGGCTCTGCTCCCAGGGAAGGGGCGATGGGACGAGGGGCACCGGCCTCAAGTTGTGCCAGGGCAGGGTGAGGTTGGGCATGGGGAACAATTCCTTCCCCTTGGGGCTGTCAGGCACTGGAAGGGGCTGCCCAGGGAAGGGGTCGAGTCCCCAGCCCTGGGGGGATTTAACAGCCGGGTAGAGGCGGTGCTGAGGGCCAGGGTTTGGGGGTGGCCTTGGCAGTGCCATGTTAATGGTTGGGCTCAATGATCTTAAAAGTCTTTTCCAACCTGAATGATTCTGTGATTCTATAAGATTTGAACCAGAACATTTGGTTGCTCAGCTCATTTCCAGGGTGTGCCCTGCATGCCTGTGGACACCTTTAGCACAGACTTCTGAGCAATTAACCCAGGTTTATGGGGCGCTCCCCACCCCTAAGGCAGGAACAGGCATAGAACATAGATTAGGAACACTTCAAATCTGTCTCTCACCCCCCTTCTGCACCCAAGACTCTCTTTTCCATCTTCGTGCTCCCTTTTCCACCCAGAACAGGGTGGGAGTAGCAGCAGCTGGCACCGGAAGGATTGCAGGCAGCGGCATGTGGGCAGAGCTATGTAAGCAGTGTTGGTGGAAGGGGAGAAAACTGATAACAAACAGCAGCCTGGCAAGGATGGTGTTTACTTGGTGAAATAACAATTTTAAAATTACCTCAGAACTGGCCTTCTCTGCTTAAGACAGAACACCCTCACTCCAACACCAAAGGAAATTAACAGCTCAAGGAAAACCTAAGGCAGGGAGAAGCCTGCAGTAGGTAATGCCAACACAGCGTGACACTGGCCCCCTGAGAAGCCACCTCATGGCACCTTTCTAACGCTACTCAGCCTCTGCAAGGTCCCGTCTCAAGCAGCGGCAGACCCATCCACGTCTGGAACTAGGAGCTGTACAGCGGCAGATAACCCTTTGCCAACATGGGAAGGGACAGCGACAGGCTAATGGCTATGACAGCTTTAGTGTACTTTAATGTGAGCACAGGAGGAAGGGCAACCATGTTTGAAAGCAATTTCCAAGCTAGATCCCAACACAGAATATGATTGGTGCCACAAAATCCACCGTAATGCAAGCTCCTCAATAACAAATGCCAGAAGGGGTTCAGGGTTGCAGAACCGATTCTTTTTTTCCCATGGCTGGGCAAGAATATTGTTACGGTGCCCCCATTTTGTGGATAAAAACATTTCAACCTTTAGCTTTCTCTAAATGCTTCCAAGTCACCAATTTACTGTGTTGTCCCGTACAAAAAAGGGATGATTTTAAAAGCAGAATTCAAAGCAACTTTAGCCTTACGATTTTTAACAGGTGAAGAGCCATAGCCACTGACAGGGGGAAAAAAAAAAAAAAAAAGTCAGGAAAGTTTAGACTCAATCGGTTTGAAACAGAGTAGGTGCAATGTGTACCCATCGTGCTACTCTTACCTGTAATTTACAGTTGCTCTTGCAGCACACTCTAATAAAGTCAATGGTATTTTCAGTTGTATGTTGGGAACAAGCGGATTAGGCTGTTCAAAAGGATTTCCAAAGAGATCCAAGTTCTCAAGACAGAGTTTCCTAAAATCACTGGGCAGGAACGGAAGTTTGTTTCGTGCTGCTGACAGAAAGCGTAGGTGATCTAACTGGCCAATCTTGAATGGCAACCTAATCAACTCATTGTCATCGAGCTTTAAATTAACGAGTTCTCGCAGCTGGCAAAACTGAATTGGAAGTGCTTTAATTTTGTTTTGGCTGAGGTCCAAGAACTGCAGAGATTTCTGAAGGGTGGAGCTGCACAGAGCCCCACTGAACGACTCCAGGTGATTGTCGTGCAAATTAAGCTCCTGAAGACAGATCAGGTCACCAATAGTAGCTGGCAGCTGCTTAATATGGTTATGGCTTAGGTCTAGTTTTCGGAGTTTCTTCAAGCAAAGCACACGCGTGTCGATCCGAGCAAGTTTGCAGTAGGAGGCTTGGAGATGTTCGAGGGAGTAAGGAAAGTTTTTGGTGAGAGGATAGTCCCTTCTTGAAGTTATGATCATTTTTGTCTTCGGTTTTTCAACTTCTGAGGTCTTTGCAGGTACCAAAGCTGAGAGCGGGAGAGCTCCTATGTCGGTCCCGTGGTGAGCCAGTCTCACAGCTGAAAGGAAATTCTTTAAATTGCTGGCATTTGCCTACAGGAAAACACAAACGTGGAATTAAAAGTTCATTATTCTTGTACTCATTTGTACTAACGCTGCCTGAATTATTTTGTACATGTATCAGGAGATACCAACTCAGCAGGGCGATGAAATGAGAAAAGGGAAACAACACCGGCTTATCAGGTTGACGTGCTGTTTACAGTATTTAAGAACAAATGGCATGCAATTTGCACGAGAAGTTACGACCTCTCTGAATAATCTAGATCAAACAAACGGCGTTGCATTACTCAGAAAAGGAACAAAGCACTGAATTCACAGCTGAAAATAAAGTGCAGAAAAAAAAAAAGCCTGATGCACCCTGATCTTCCCAACCTGCAACATGATAAAGGGACAGTTCATACAAACACACACGGGGAATTCAGAGATGTAAAACTTGAGGCAATCATATCCGAAAGCTGCAAGGAAGAAAAAGGGTGGAAGCTGAGGTTAAATTTAACATAAAGGAAGGTGGAAAGCTTCAAGGCAGGTTAAGGAAGTGCTTCTGGTCACACACAGCTCTGGTTGCGCCAGCGTCAAACAAGAGGATAATTACTTGCAGTCCTCCTGCAAACAAGTGACAAGTTTTGCATTAGGTGGGATACAACGCAATGGCAGTAAGGACAGAGAGTCAAATTAACGCAGCATCAGATGACCCGTATTTTAAATACAGGTCAAGAAAGCTGCGATACGTTTGTTATACTGGTTTGATTAAGTTTTACGAATAATGGGGTGACCAAATGTTTCTCTTCTAAATTTCCCAGCAAGTCTCTACTCAAGCTGATGTGCAGCTGACAGACACCAAGCTATAAAGCGAATTATAGAATAAAAAGCACGATGCATCCATACAAGCACAAGTCATCTCTCATTGCAGGAAGGAACAAACTTGGAGTTTTGATATGGCCCTGAGTCGAGAGGTTTGCGCTCTGTTCCCAGCTGTAACTTGCCCAACCCTAGCACCTGGATGCCCATTTCTGCACCTGAATGACAATTTTGCTCTTACATGTATTTGTTTATACCAAATTCCAGAGTGTTCAGAACTAGCTTACATAACATGCTATAAGCAGCTAGCACAACAGAGCAATGACCTTGGGAGACTTCTGGAAGCTAACGTGATATAAATGAAGACAATAGAGGTCAAACATATTTGATTGCATCAAACCTAAAATGACTGTTCTCCTTAAATCCCAGGCACATCTATTCTCTTAATTCCAGAGGCTAAAAGCCAAAATCCTTTGTATCCAAGACCACCAACATCCATTATCTCAGCCAATCTAACTAAAACAGGTAGCCATGGGACTCCCCCTAACTACAGGCAGATCTGTCACGTTTCCAAGGGTAATAGAAGCTAACGAAATTTGGAAGTAAGCAGAAGTCCTCCAGATCTGTAAAGACCAACCAAAATACTTAACTATATATTAGAATTGAGTTACAGGCAGTATTTCTTTGATCTCAAAGCATGAGATGCAACAGATACCTGTTTCTTGTAGCCAAAAGCTCTAGGTTGTTACGAATAAGTTTATGTGCTATTCGTGTGACTTCAGTATGAGTACTTTGTGTTCTGGATCCTTGAGACAAATTTCCTCCACAAGACCTTTGTGAAGGCAATGTAGTGTCTGTACACCTTGTTGTTGAGAAACCTTGAGTGTGTTGAGAAAAACACTAAGACACATCTAAGAAAAAAAAGCAAAGAATCCGTTGAAAGAGCTCAGGACATGATTTTCTGCCCCAAGTCTGAAGTCTCAACCACAGAAAGGATGTTAGGAAAAGAGGTTAATCTGCGTTGATGCCTTCCAAGTCCCTTGTTTCAGAACGAAATGAATGATGACAAGGCAATCGGAGGTTACATGGATTTCAGACCTTGCGTGCAATGCAGCAGGCACAGGCTTGCTGAAGGAAAAAAACCAACCCAAACCACAGTGACTTTATTATTTTTGCTCCAGGGTTGAATGCTCCAGACCGACGTTTCTCAACTCGATGTGGCTGAATGCAGCAAATCCCACTGCCTGGCAGAGTACAAAGAGTGGGGTTTTGCATGGTAGTTGCACGCAGTCGGTGTAGTCATACCTGGAAATCTCTTTTCTACAAAGCTTTTGTCCATCTGGAGCACCCCTCCTATGAGGACAGGCTGAGAGAGTTGAGCTTGTTCAGCCTGGAAAAAAGAAGGCTGCGGGGAGACCTGATTGTGGCCTTTCAATACCCAAAGGGGGCCCATAGGAAAGAGGGGGAAAATCTTTTTAGTAGGCCCAGCTGGGACAGGACAAGGGGTAATGGTTTTAAACTAAACCAGGGTAGGTTTAGACTGGATCTAAGGAAGAAATTCTTTACAATGAGGGTGGTGAAACACTGGAACAGGTTGCCCAGAGAGGGGGTGGAGGCCCCATCCCTGGGAACATTCCAGGCCAGGTTGGCCGGGGCTGTGAGCAACCTGATCTGGTTAGCGGTGTCCCTGCTCCTGCAGGGGGGTTGGGCTCGGTGACCTCTAGGGGTCCCTTCCAACCCAAGGCATTCTATGATTCTATGATCTTTGAGAGTTAAGAAGCTTTTCTGTAATGAAATTATGGAAGACTAGCAGAAACACTGCAGAAAAGTTAGCAGTGATCGTAAATTGGGTTTCTGTATTTGGAGCATTTCAGAGGAATATGTAGTTTCACTGGCTTTGGAGGAATTTAGTGGATTTGTTCCTGGAGCTTGACAGTATGAGGGTGAGCCTTACGCTAAAAATGGGGAGCGAGGATCTAGGCTCCTTGAGCAACTCTGGTCATTACTCTAACTCCTGTTTCATTAGACTGAGACTTTCTTTTCAGTCTAACAATGTCATGGATGATCTTATACAGAAAACAACAGATGTAGTTCTTAACTAAATTACTACCCACACTAAAAGAGTGTCTGTCGCACAGTGTCCTCACAGGCTGGTGAGGGTCTAAATTACTTCTTGTAGCACTAAGACACAAACCTGTCCTGTCTAATTTTATACTGCTAGTAGATCCTCTTACAACAGGCTGGCTTTTCTACCTTTGTCCCAAGACAAACTTTTTGTCTTCTCACACTTTGGCAGAAATACTTAGAGTAAAGGATGTAGATATTTTGGATCTAATGCAAGACACGTCAAGTTTTCTTTTTCGCAAGATACGGAGCACATTTGCTTCTGACAAGAAAGAAATTGATCTGATCTGGTCACATGCTACTTCTTTTATATTTAACACTGCAATGCAAACTGCTCTCTTCATCAAATTAAAGCTGCTTTCCTCACCACCACAGCCTTTGCTCTTGCAGAGACAAGGTATTTCCAGTTCACCATAGCGCTCTGCCACATTCTGTGAAACCTTGGGCTACCACAACTATATTCAGGTATTGGCCTTATTCCCAATACAGTGCTTTTTCTTTCTTGCTGTGTCGTATTTGTTTTCTTTTCAGTAAGTCACCATCCCGAGTACAGATTCATTCACCTTGTTTCTCAAGCAGACCTCACAGCCCGCCCCGAGCTCCGCTCCGCTCTGCCAAGGCTGTTGTCAGTGCTCATTGCAGCTGCAGTTTAAAAACACCCTGTGCATTTCTCCTCCGCCAGGCCCTTTCAGAAAGCATTCTGCTTGTGAAGGAATAAGCTTCACCACTCATGCTTACAACTGCTCAGCCTGACATCACTGAAATGATTAAAGGACCTTCTTCAGGCCAGAGAGCCACAGTTGCAACAGAAAGACAAAATTATTTTCCAAACAATCAATATTACTTGCTTTTATTTACACATCCTAACTCTAAAGTTAAGCTTAAGGTTAAACTTAAGCAAAAGCTACCCTGCTTTCCTCTTCTACAAAGCTACAAAAGACTACTGCAACAGGCACAGAAAAAAACCTTACCAACATAAAAATTGAACATTAGTATGTGATTTTTTTTTTGTGAGTTTAGTGTTATTAAAAACACTTTACAGATTCCAACTATCCTCTGAACTGTAAATAAATACACCGTTGAGTTCTACTATCAGCTAGGCACTAAGGTGAGATGGTGCCTGTACTGCTGATCCATACTGTGTGTCTCCAGCTTTGAAAACCACAGAGGGCACGCTGCTTGTCCACTAAGACAAAAGTATTCTCTGTTTTTTTCATTAAAAAGACGGTAAGCAATAACTGTTTCACAGAATTTACAGCCAAAGAGCAAGATACTGTATCAGAGAGATGAAAAAAGTTGTTTCTCTCCAAACAAACAGCAAAGAACAACATGAAAAATGGACTTTTCCCCTCCTGCTGTTTCTCCAGAGGGAGCAGGAGAAGGGAGACTCAGAACACAGCCCAGAAAAGAAGCTGGGCTCAGCCTTCCCGGCACAAAAAGTGAGTTCCCTTCTATTTCCCTTCTTGCTGTAGCCTGCTGATACAAAGCCGGGCTCCTTCAGGCTGCCTCGCTTACATCTCCTGTGCCAAAGCTCAGTCGCAGCGTCGCATTTGTCGGAGGGACCCCAAGGAGACAGCCCGGGGCCCGCCCGGCTCCCCAGCGAGCCACCCTCCACACGCCGCTCGGTTTCGAGCCCGGGCACGGCAC